AGCATAAGTCGCTGGCTCGCGAAAGTAAGGTCGTGGGTGCGAATACGGGAGGAATCGGCGGGTGTGCGCTAATGATGAACCCCAATAAGACGAAGAGACCGTCTAGCGCTTTCCTGAATCTATGGTGGCTGTCTGCCTGAGTCTAGCTGTGATGAATTTTCACAAAAATCCAGTAAAACCACTACTACTCACTAATATCAGAAACCCGCTTGCAAGGCTCGAGGTCAGTGCTCACTCTATGGTCACGTTCATGTGACGCGGACGGTACTTTCTCACTGCGCCAATCCGGAGATGATGCAGCTTCGAATGCTAGTCAAGCCGGTGTGGGTACGCTCTGAGCTCCCGGGCTGAAGCTGCCCAGGTAGAAGGGATCCCAATCAGTAGCCCGATTTACGCCATCAAAATGGCTGGATCGTTCGAGGCTTCGAAGTCGAGCAAGACTAACAAGTGCCTGTTTGTAACTGCGGCTCACGGCCCCACAAAGTGTGGCGCTAACTCGGTGAAAGATGACTTATATCACCAACTGAACGGGCACCTTCGTCACAGAAAAAGCGCGGATAGTGCAGTGCTGGTCGATGATCTGAATGCTCAAGATGGAAAATTGTCAAATGTTTAGTTGGGCGGAAAACACGGCGTGGACTCTCATAACGATAACAGTGAGCGGTTAATACATTTGGGTGAAGATGCTCGTGTAGTTCTCATGAGCATTAACACCCGACACCTCACCTGCCGGAAGGTGAGGTGGAGCTCACCTTCCTCGAATCAGAAATGGATGCAAATCGATCACATCCCGATGTTACCGTAGGACGGGTTGTGTAAAAACTGCCCCGCGATTTGGAGTAGAAGTGTGGACTTCGACCATGCAGTTGATTACGCTGATCTGATGGTGCATTTCAGCGGACACCCACGACGATGCTGTGAGCGTATAGGCAAACACAAAGTGCCGAAGCCGAACATTCTGAATACGAATCAGAGTACATAAGCATCCGAGCTAAGTAAAGACTAACTGAACACAACAAAGGCCACTAATGGTATATTCACCCGACATCAATAGCAGCATGTATGTCTACCTGTGACAAATCCGATTGCCAGCTTAGACAATGGGTCTCTTCGCAGTCTCGGGCCTCGGGAGCCTCGCTGACGCATTACGGCTGGAAAGTGAGACAATGAAACTCACTAAAATAGAAAATGAAAGCTAGCCTGAAAATCGACCACAAAGTTAATGATCTCACAAATCCTCGGAGCAGCGTACGATCGCTGTGCCTGGTAACCATTGAAAGTTATTCCGTCTGATACGGGAAATGGGCAAGAGAACAACTGGTATTAGGGAAACCATATGCGACGAGAGTGAACAGCTTATCCACAGATATTCAAATCTTTGGTGTTAGGCTGAAGATTTTGGAAGCATTTGAGCCGGGCTGGAAGTACCGGATTTGCTGCCACCAAATGATTGGCCTGCTAGCTGGAAGGTCACTTTAAATCCTCCCTCTCGCGCAGAAGTCAAACGTGAGATTGTGGAAAATAAATATGGCCGCAGTGCCAGGTGGGCTCCTTCTAACCATCTTCAAATTCGGGGGACCAGCTCTTGTGGACGATATGTGGATTTATTAGTGAAACTGAGGGAAAAAGTAACCGCTCCAAGCGACTGGGATCACGTTTGGAATGCGGCAATCATATAGGTATTAGTCTTAATTGTCTCTAAGTTACTCGCCTCTATTGTTATTCATGGACTAGCTGGCGCACATGAAGACCAACTTCGTGAACAGAAAGCCGAGTTCCGCAGAAGCCGGGGCTGCATTGATGACAACAGTATGTACACTAGTTAATGGAACGAAGCCACTTATATCAGTGACCAACCGTAGTCGTGTTTCTGACTTCAAAGGTGCCTCCGATTCGGTGGATCGATGTGTCTGTTTGGATGATGTATGTCCGAAAAATGCATAAACATCCCCAGAGCGATATACGATTGTAGCTAAGGCAGATTGAGGACTTGCGGCAAGCTGTCACCGCCCTCCTATATCCAAGCAGTGAGACAAGTTTGCCCGCTGTCATCTCTTCTTCTTAACTCCAGTTTTGACGAAGTTACCGAGGCTGTGTTCACCGGACACAAGTTGGAAAGTATGGAGCTGCTCCAAGGTGATCGAGTTGTTGAGTATGAGGATGCTGACGATATTTACATCATCTCTGACAGCTAACAAACCTGCATAGCAGTACTGGATAGATTGGCACAGGTTGTCAATCTTTCCGGGCTATGCTTTGCACCCTTGAAATGCAATCCTTTTTCTATGATCGACATGCGTTTAGTCTTGGTGCTGAGCAGTCAGAAATCGTTCAGAAATTGAGTACTTGGGCATGTATATTAGCACCTGTGGAATAGAAGACGAGGTCACGAACCGTACAGTAAAAATTCGAGGCGCTTTTGCCCATCTCTGCCGCCTGTGGCACCGGTGTGACATCATTCTCGCATTGAAAGACAGAGTTTACACCAAATGGTTGCACCAGTCCGGACGCTGGAGCATCCCATCATAGTAATCTTCCTTAGTTTTAATGACACGTGATAAAGCTGACCGCTCCTGTTGTCAGTATTCTCCTCTTCTTGGGTGACGTGTCGAATAAATATGTATAATCTGATTTCGATATACTGACCCCCGAGGGCAATTGCGGGTCTACAGTAGACTATCCCTGTTCTTTGTAACAACTGTGGCTCGTTAGGACCAGCCCGTTCTCTTTTCCTATTCGAATGTGTGGTCAAAATAATCACTTGTGCTTTGACCATGGTAGCCCTTCGGAAGCGTAAATCTTGTCGGGTGACCAACTGTCATTCGGAGAGTGTACATCTGATATGACCATCTTTGGGCGGTGTTAAGTAGCAGCACGGTTATATACATCCCGCACCAAACACCGATGGATGGGCCCCGTGTTGCCCATGCCAGCCCACCGACCCCCGCGTCGTGCGTTGTTTGTGTGCCAGGGGGGTGGATGGAAGAAGAGGAGGGGTGGCCAAGTGCTGACTTAATCAAGGGAAATGAAATCCCACATTTTGAAGTTGGTGTCAACTCGTGTGTCCCGACTGCCCAGCAGATGTCCGAAGGGCGATGAACCCGTTTGGCTGGATACACTAGTTGACATGGCAAACAGCCGACCTCAGTGGCGTTTGTGTTGAGTTGCTTTGTCCCTCCCCATTTCGTTTATCCTCCCAATTCAACCACGATCTCTCACTTGACGCATACTATGTCACTAAATGTGCTGCCTAGTTTTGCATCTATAATTTTCAGTATCCTGCTTTGTCGTATGTCGTATCTTTATGCATTACGGAACAATAGTTGAAGTGTGCTTCTGTAGGACTAATAAATACTAGTTCGAGACGATGCGCGTAATCAAGCGCGGATATCAGAAGGCAATTGAAGTCGGACACAGCGGACTATCTTAGATGGGCTGCAAAAGACGTGGACGGATGAAGCGAGACAGGAGCGACACGTTAGCACGGCAACTTACAGGACGGTCAAGTGAAGAGCCGGACGTAAGTCAACATGTTCATAATGTAAGGGAGATTAAAACAAGAAAGAATAATGTATAATTGGTCATCAATGAAACGGTACACAAAAGACAATACTTATCCCTTGGAGCGCTACAGAGCTCCCTCCTTAGAAGGCTGAACAAAAGAAGTCTTCGATGTCGAAAATGACGGGTGAATCGAAGTTTGTTGAGCAAAATCGTGCCGAGTGAGTGAATGAGTGGGCGTTCGTGTCAAATAGGGGTTCGCCGGAAGTCGGAGTCCGCTGAACCGTTTGGTATTTATTGAGTGCAGGGCAGGATGCAATTCAGCGAGCCGTTGGAGCGGGCTTGTCGAATTTCAGAAAAAACTGGCTAGCCCGGAAGAAAAGCCGACAGGACCTCAACCTTAGCTGCCACCAAATGGTGCGCTTGGGAATGGTCTCTCCTCGTCGCACCGCCCCGAGCCAAAATGACCCTCGTCCCACGAAGAAACGACCCGCATTCGCGTAAGGATCCTCGTTGACTGTAGCGATCCCGAAAACGTCACTCGTGAGGGCCAGTCGATCGAAGGGGAGGGTTGGGGCATGTAGAGACGGGCAGAAAAATACGCAGAACACGCCAGAAAGAACGAACGATCTGTCCCAAAATGTTTGGGTTTTTGGACATCTTTGAAATAAGGTTTTACAGGATTTTTTGATTACTTTGTTTTCAAAACGATAATCGATCGAAAACGGGGCAAATATTTACAAACCTAAAAGTCTTTACACTGTCAACAATCGGGAAAACGAATAAGCTTATAAACCCCCTGACCACGGCGATTGATTGCGGGAGACGACAGGCTCACTGTAGACGATGAAGTCGGAACGACCCTAGCCTGTTAACGTAAATCGGTACCCGTGCATGAATGCTACGTGTTTGTAAGGTGGCGCGATTATTCGTAGCGTCACACGAAGCGTTCGAAGTAGCCATAGGCTCAGCAACCTCCTCGATGAAAGTTGGTTTGAGGCGATCGATGGTGACGACTTCGCGTCGGCCACATCTTAGACGTATGGTATAGCACTTTAAAAGGTCCTATGTATGGCGACTGAAGTGGCTGCCTAACACTGTCTGCACGGAAGACGTGTGAACGGGTAGACAGCTTCTCGGGCACGGACCCTGGTGTCTTCTGCGATCGAGGAGCGGGCGGACGTAGCTCGTGCATCTAGTGAACCAGTGCGTCGCTGTAACTTCCATAGTCAAAGGAGGAAGCAGATGGGGCTGGTGCCACCAGATTTCTAAGCAAACGCAGCGTGCAGCCGTAGACTAGCTGTGCTGGTGTTGTGTCGAAATCAGTTTTAATCGTGTTACTTAAGCCTAGGAGGATGAGAGAAAGTGTTTCAGACCATGAAGGATCAGCGTACGCACGTAGCGCTGCCTTCAACTTGCGGTGAAAACGCGCCACCATGCTGTTAGCGGCCGAATGATACGCTGTCGTCTGAAGGTGGCGACAGCTTAAATCCTTAAGCAACGTGGCAAAAGTGGAAGAGAAATGTGACCCTCGATCGGTGGTCACGATGGCGCTCCAAAAATGCTTTTGCTACTGTTTCCGAAGAGCAGTTCGGAATCGAAATGGCCTCTGGCCACCTGGTGGATCGGTCGATACAAGCCAGCAGGTACACCGAGTATTTCGAAGGAGTCAGAGGACCTACGAGGTCGACGTGCATGTGATGGAAACGTGCGTGTGGTGTCGGAAATGTGCCAATTGGGCTTTTCGCGTACTTGTGCACCTTCGCGCGTACACACAGAAGGCAAGCAGCTGCCCAAATACGAACGTCCTGATTGACGTTGTGCCAGACGTATTGTGCAGTTACGAGTTTAACCGACGCACGAACGCCTGGGTGAGACAAGCCGTGCAACATGTCGAACACAGTCTGTCGAAACGCGCGTGGGACGACTGGGTGCGGCGTACCCAGAGAGAAATCGCAAAGTATAGCTCCGTCTGAGGATGTTAGTGGAACGGGTCATAGGCCCAGTGAGGGAGACCTGCGTAGTAGATTAACCTCAGCATCATAGTTGCGCTGCGGCCATGGCTGCCAAGTCGATAGCGGTGAAGACAGCAGCGGAGATCGCTTGAATTCGGGAAAGTGCGTCGGCGATGGCGTTGTGCACACCTGAGATATGTCGTATATCGGTCGTAAGCTGAACGATATAGTCCAGGTGGCGAAACTCTTTAGGAGAGTATCGATCGGTAGTCGAGCCGAGCATATAAGTCAGGGTTTTGTGGTCCGTGAAGACGGCAAAAGAGCGTCCTTCTAAGACATGTCGGAAATGACGTATGGATAGTTAGATGGCTAATAGTTCGCTACCGAAGGTGCTGTAACGGGATTCGGCAGGTTGCAAACGTTTGGAGAAAAATGACAATGGCTGCCAAGCGTCAGCTACCTTCTGCTGTAAGACTGCCTTAACTGTCACATCGGAAACGTCGGTATTGAGCGACAGTGGGGCTGCCGGGTCGTGATGCGTTACAGAAGCTATGTTGGCGATAGCTACTTTCAAGGCCTGGAAGAGGGCGCGTGCTGTAGCAGAAAAATCGAATTTTTCAAGCTTCTCTCGGAGAAGGTCCGTGAGGGGTTGCATAAGCGAGGCGCAACTAGGTATGAAACGGCGATAAAAGTTGGCGAGGCCGCCAAAGCGTCTTATCTGCTTGAAAGAATAATGTACAATTGGTCGTCAACGAAATTTTACGCAAAAGATAATAGTAATCTTATGGGGCGTTACACTTCTCACCGTCATCTAATATGTAATGGTAGTGTTGAGTAGGCTGACACAGTGTTACGCATGCTGACATTTGTGTCGTACCTCCAAACGGTAAGGTGCGGTTACTTTTGTAACTATATCACTTCTATCGTACGGGTTACCGCATACAAGGTCAAAGCTCTGCAGCTATTCAAAGACTGCAAAACGTTCTTCTGTTGGTCGAAAGTTGTCTGTAAAGTGCTGTAATATGGTCGGGGTGATTGTATTAACTAGAAGCAGACCAACTGGAACCGAAGTCGCATCTAAGCGCCAGTGTCTGTGGAGTGTTGCTCATATCAAGCAAGGTTTTGGGATAGGTAACATGGGTGTACACCAGTTTGTATTTGGCAGAGGACCTGCAAGTGCCGCGCTGGATTGTCAAATAGTCAACGCTGGTTGGGTCATAATAATAAATAATAATGTGTCCGTTGTACGCCGCAACAACGCTTCGCTTCCGCGTGACCACCACCAGTCGTGCGTGGGATGAGTATACCGCGAGGACGCCCACCCCTAAGCTGATTCGAACCGGTGACCGTATGATTTCAAGCCAATGGTGCATACCACTCGGCCACCGGCTGAGCTGGATGGGTCACGAATTTAACACACTCGCTGTCGGACACTTCAAAATCCATGGCATTTCAATACTAGGGGTTGGTTAGGCGAAACCACAGAGTGGCTACTCAATAACATAGCAAAGAAGCCTGAGGAGTCATAAATCCGTATAAGCAGTAAACAGAAAGACGCTATCCACATGGAGTCTGAGCTAACATACACGATTTGTAACGGCCACAACGGCTCAGCGGCTGCATCTGCGCCACCGTCATAGCAAATGTCAGAACATTCATCACACGCGGCGCGCTAAACTAGGGCTTATAATCGCGAGCGCTAAAAGAATTTTCACATGCCGGATCCCATTTAAAAGCGCAATCCACATAGACTGCTATATGCTCTCGTGACCAGTTTAGAGATGACTTATACTTTCTGCTTGAATTGTTCACGCACTCAATGGAATACAGTAAAAAAGCAAAAATAGGACGAGTCTTACAATTTTTCCGCAGCACGATAACGGCGGCGCTTTGCTTTGAAAATATCACGGGTAATCTAACTGTATGATATTCGTCTCAGCTATCACTATGTTGAAAGCACCTTTTGGAGCAAAACCAGTGGCGCGCGATCCGAAATGCTGTAATTGGCAAACATCTGGTTTGTGGAAACAGTTTTATTGCTTACTTTCTAGCATTTTTTCGTTCAGGTAGACCGGTGTGGGTGCGGAAGTTCGGGCGCCGATGCTATCTGTGGCTGTTTCATGATGTCCCTTTAGGATACATTCATCGACAATATCGAAATAGTTGACTGGGGCTATTGGAAGTAGGTTTAGTACTATGTTATGCTGCTATGGTGCTTTTTCCTATTAATCCGGTTAGAATTTAATTGGTTAATGCATAAATAGCAGCCGGAGGTAGATGTTCAGCTGAGGTATATATAGATTAGACTCAGTACGCCTCGGACACTAGTCGCTAGTGATGACAATTAAGATACGTGCCAGACACGGAACAATAAAGATAGAGGCAGATGGATGCAACATATATTGAACGGGCTATAATGAATGGATGGCAAATCAGCAAGGGAGAACGGTCAACGTTGAACTCACGAGAGCGATAGTGAATGAGGATATATGCAGAGTTAAACAGGTAGACACTGAGAAGGTACAAAGAACAATAAAAGCAAAGGTTGTGAAACCCTCAGTGTGTGTTTCCAGGTTCACTACGTAAGTAGAGGTGACCCTCTGATAATCCTCACAACACTAAAATTACTGGGTCTGGCTGTAACGTTGATTCAGCATGCGTTTTTGGTGAAAGAGATGGGTGCTCGGGTACGTGAACAGGATTAATTGGAGACATCCATATACTTGGCGAACGCGAAACGAATAAACTATTCGCAGCCACACTCTTTTCCAAAGTAGCATAGACGCAATGTTTGTGAATTCCGCTGGAACCATGGCTAGCTGGATAGAATCACTCATCATACACCATGGATACGCACTTTTTCAGCGCCAGACAGATGCTCAGAGCTGAAAGATCAACAGCGGTGGTTCACAGATCAGACCCTTCACTAAAGCCATATCGTTTCCGAAACGCTTTAAAATTCGTACGTAGCAGAATTTCAATGTTGATCAGGGGGAATCGACTATTCAGTCTGGAATGTGATATCGAGCAGTACCCGTACATACAACCCAAAAACACCTTCAGAAACGATAGGCATAAAAGGTCAGTCAATGGTTTCAGAAGTCCGAGAAGAGCGCTCACTACATTATTGACAAGAGATGCATAAAACATTGCACATTTCAACCATCCAAAGAGCCACATCGGGTAAAAGCGTCAGAAAAAAGGGGACAGGAAAGAGCTGTAGTGATCGTAAATGGGCATTCGTCACACTTCAAATGCAGTTGCGCATTGTTACTCGTAGCTGATTAGAGAACAATCAGGTTTGTAGTTCATCGCCTGCATAAAAGTAAGCGATTGAAGTGTGGATCCAAAAGGTTATCGTCCAAAAGGACTCGTACCACCAGCTCGGCATTTCAACATGGAGCGTCATACGACTAAATTAACAAAAAGTGGAGATTAAAAGAGTATTTCATGAAAGAAAAAGGAAGAAAGAGGTGCGAACAAACTGCCAATAGTGCTCACAGCCACGCAAGATTCCAAGCTGAGTAAAAAAGAAGAAAAAAAGGATAAAAGCAAGTCACAGCAATAATGAGTAATTATGAATACGGTTACATAAGAACCAAAACAGAACAGTGAAACATATAACTAAAGAGGGAGTTGTAGGGGCCACGTTACAGAAAGGGTGGCTTTTAACGCATTCTGTGGTGTAGTGGTGTCAAGCAAAGAACCCAAAAACGTGCAACTCATTTCCTGACTGAAGGAATCACATAAAAAGTTAGGAATGGCTAAATAGCTACACCAGAACTTTACCGCAATCCGACAAAAAGCTTGAAGCCTCCTCCTACAAACACGTTTCCGGTATTTAGCCTTTTATAATTTCGCATAGGAAATTACTTCTTTTTGCTGCACAGTAGCCGGCAGATAGCTTACCGGAACGATGCCAATCCGTTATCGGTAACTCAGATGGCTTGCACCTGCTGCATTTTACTCCCTTTTTTCTTTCAGGCATTGCGGTACAGTAGATGAAATATTTCCCACCTCTAGCTAACCTGTATAGTGTGTGTGCGTTGAGGGTAAACATCAGGGGCTTGTAAGCGGTTAAAACACAAAATTGTTTAGCTTCAAATAGATGGCAAAGACGACGAATATCCAGATAGCTGGTAGTTCCTGACCAAGTCTTTCAGTCAATTTGTTCATACCTTTTCGCCCAGTCATGGATTGGCAAAGGGCATCAGCAATACGCCGGCACACCATACCAACGCTTAGATGCCACACCGCCACCACCAGTCGCGCGTAGGCTAAGAGAACTGCGAGAGTCGCCCGGTCCCCTTGCAGACTCGAACCCGCGACCTCCGGACTATAAGACAGACATGTGACCCTTCCGGCCACGAGCAAGCACAGATTAGCCAGCACGAACTTTCGCCCAACTTGATCCAGCCACGGCGTACGGTGCACGCCGAGGAATGCGATCGACGGGTCTACGGGGGACATGACTAGTCAACGCAGGCGGTTAAGATTCAGCAAACACTACAGTGAGGCACCAAAAGGCCTTATGCCAAAAAGCAACTGGCGAACTTCAGCATTGCTCACTCAGTGTTTCCACTAGACGGGAGCAACACTCCGCAAGCATCAGCATCATCAGTATACACGTTAGCTAGAGGTGGTAAATACCTCAGCTCTTGCGCCGCAACGCATGGGAAAAGAAAATGCAACAGAGGCACGCCAACTGAACCACCAATAATGGATGGACATCGTTCCAGAGAGATAGCAGCTGGCTGTTGCAGCACTTACTCGAACATTAGAGACCCTCTCAATCGATATCTGCTGCTTATCAGAGACCTGCCTGCAAGACTCGAGCTCTGTGCTCACTTTGCGATCCCCTTCAGATGACACCAGCAGCACTTTCTCATTGCGCCTATCCAGTGACGATGCAGCTTCGAGCACCGGCCAAGCTGGTG